CCGCCTGCCCTTAACCCCCGTCAGCCCTCTGTCACCCGGTCGCTTGTTGCTTGAGGGCTCCGAGCTGCTCCTGAGCCAGTGGGGAACAATGGTGGCCATGGCGGGCCTCCATGCCCTTTGCGGTGTGCCTGGGCGCCCTGGCGAGACTTCCGTGGTTCCACAGTTAGGGTCTCCTGCGATCAGCAAAGTATGCCCGTGGAACTCGAGCGATGCCGCTGCCAAGTCTTTGATTCATCAGAAATTAAGTCTTCCGACCACATGGGCCCGGGCAGGAGTGGAGGGTAGGAAATGGTCCGGGAACTCCAGAACGAAAGCCTTAACCGAGTAGTGGAGGGTCAGGGATAGCTTTCCAAGTGAGGTGACCCGGTAGCATTTTGATAGAATGGTAGAGGCGACTCTGGGAAGTGAGGTGTTTTGGATAACCAGGGTCAGGTTAATTCGGACACGGGGCGCAGCAATGCAACCCCTAGAGGTGTTTGGTGTCACAGGCATCAGTGGTTACGTGGAGCTCCAAGGGAGGGTTGGAGTGGGCGTGGAGGGCACAGAGAAGCCTGCTTCACCCAAGAAGAACATCCTAATGGAGCGTGGGAAGTGATTCACGGTTTTGGTTGCAGAGGCAACTAAGAACAGGAGTCTGGTTTGGGTCCCACTAGATCCTCTCAAGCCTTAGTTTCCTTACCTATGACATGGAGGTAGTATGTCCTAAAGCCAGTGGCTCTAACGTGCTAGAAGCTATGGCTCCTCTCTCTAGGGAAAAATGAACAGAGCCCCAGGCAGTACCACATACTTTCTGGAGCTTGGTGAAGAACTTCCTGGTGTGAAGTTCCTGGCAGCACGCAGCCTGCCCAGGCATTCCCTTCTCTCTTGGTAGCTTGCCCCATGAAGACATTCCTCAACCCCGAAGTCTTGCCCCTAGTCTGAGTGTGGGGCAGGGAAGGGACCGCTGCTGGGGTTGCCAGATACTCCAGAAATGGGATCACAGGAGAGAACACCGGGCTCCTGATAGATTGTCTAACCTACAGGTTTGACTTAGCAGGTTAGGAAACAGGCCTGGAGCAGCTCCAGCTCTGGTGGGGGCTGTCCCCTGGGGCTTCATCTCAGCCATGAATGGCCTGCACGCCTATTCCTGCCTTGGCAACAGGTCTGAGCTCTTAGAGGGTCCTACACTGTGGGTGCTTACTAATGGAAGTTGGCTTTTCTGGTTTTTATTTCTGAGTCTTGCTCGCTCTTCCAGTTTTTAAACTACTTGAAGATGGATCCTGGGAGCGGAAGTGGGAATCAAATGGTGACAGAAGACGAGTCTTTCTGGTTTTTTAATGCATATATGTGTTTTCCTCTGCATGTATGTCTGTGTATCACATGCCCAAGGAGGTCAGAAGAGGGTAGAGGGCATTGGATCCTCTGGAACTGGAGTTACGGGTGGTTGTGAGTGACCTTCTGGGTGCAGAGAACCAAACCTGGCTTCTCTAGAAGAGCAGCCGGTGCTGAACCGTCTCTCTAGCTCTGGCTTATTTGTTGAAACAGGGTAGGTGTCATTATACTGTAGACCAGGCTGGCCTTGAATTTGTGGAAATCAGAAATCCTGCCTCTACCCACCTCGCCCAGCTAGGCCTGTGCATGGTCTAGAAGGTGCTGCCATTCCCCTGCCTTGCTTCTAGGGTTATGCACACTGCCAGGTTTCTTTGAGAGGGAATGATGGGTTGGGAGGAGGGGACAAGGGGTGATTTGTTTGTTTTGTTTTGTTTTTTGGGACAGGGTTTCTCTGTGTAGCTTTGGAGCCTATCCTGGCACTCGCTCTGCAGACCAGGCTGGCCTAGAACTCACAGAGATCCACCTGCCTCTGCCTCCCGAGTGTTGGGATTAAAGGTGTGCCCACCAACGCCCGGCCCAATGGGTGATTTTTGTAATGATCTTCTTTTCTTACTAGAATGTAAGCTCCATGAGTATAGGAAGCAGATTAGCCTCCTGCTTTTGCATCTTGGCCCAACCCCAGGCACTCCTGAGTCCTTGGGAGATGAGTGCCATGTGTCACTCACTGTTTTGACTACCTACTCCGTGCTGGGGGCATCCAGTCCTAGCTTCTATCTGTCCTGAGAGGTAGCTGTCACCTCCTCTTTAACAGATAAAAGTGGTTAATGGTTGAACACACCAGAGCCCTGGCAGGTGAATTGAGTTCCAGGGATCCCAAAGATCTGTCATTTTCAGTGTGAGGAGAGGGGTCTCAAGAAGGAACTAGGAAGGGGTCCCCTTGCTGGGAGAATGGATATTATACAGAGTTCACATTGGCCACCTCATGACAAAACTGGGCCAGCCACTACCCACACAGGCTCCGCAGGCTGTTTAAAATCCTTTGTGGTTTCCTTCCTGAGTCACAAGTCTCTAGACTTGTGTTCATACCTTCTGGGAGCCCAAGGTTTTTAAAGGAGGAGGCATGGTAGTGTGCTGACCAGATCCCCAGCTGAGAAGGCCTGGACTGTTCTTTCACTTGTTGCCATGAGCAGAGTTTTCATTCCTGTCTGTCAGGTGACAGACCGGTTGCTAAGATTCCAGTAGGTTTGTGTCTCAGTATTACCTGGGGAAGACCACCCTACCATCAGTATTAACTTACTGAGCAAGCACTTACCCTATGACCATTTTAATTTTTTGTTATTATTTATTATTGGGTTTCTGTTTATTTTTAAGACTGGGTCTCTCTACATAGCCCTGACTGTCCTGAAGCTCACTATGTAGACCAGGCTGGCCAATCTGCCTGCCTATGCCCCCTGAGTGCTGGAATTAAAGACCCACCACTCAAGAGCCTTGTTTGTTTGTTTGTTTGTTTTGGCTTTTTGAGACAGGGTTTTTCTATGTTTAGCTGTCCTGGAGCACTATGTAGGCCACACTGCCCTCAAACTCAGACCTGCCTACACTAACTCTCGAATGCTGGGACTAAAGGTGTGCATTCAGTCCAGCTTTATTTTAATTTAAGCTTTTTTTTTCCTGTTACGGGGTGAAACCCAGAGCCTCAGAAATGGTAAGTGAGCACTCTGCCAATGAGCCACACCCCAGCAGTGTGCTGTCTCTTGGTATCAGCTCATTTAACCCTGCCTGTCAGCCACTCATGGAAATATACGCCTGTAAATTCAACTTAAGTGTAGGCAGGAATGGAGGAGCCCAGGGCAGTCCTAAGCTGCACTGGACCCTGCTTCAAAGTAATAATAGTTAATAATAAGCTATAATGGAGAGCAGGCAGCTCTTCAGACTTCGTAGTTTGGGTTTGGGGGTGTTGATTTTGTGTTATGTGGTTTGTTGTTCTGCTTTGTTTGGAGATGTAGTCTCCCTGTGTAGCCCTAGCTGGCCTAGAATTTACTATGTAGACCAGAGATCGGCCTGTCCTGCCTCCTGAGTAAGTGCTGGGATTAACCACATTCACCACTGTGTTTGTTGTCTGTGTGTGTTTGAGACTGCTGGCCTGGAATTTGAGGTGCTACGGTGCTGGGGTCATGAGTAGGCACCACACCTGGCTTCTGTCTGCTCTTCTTTGTCACAAGGACCATCTTTCAGTTAAATAGATTTGTCTCTAAAAATGTCGTTTTTGATGGCTTCCTACCATTCCATCGTGTACATTCTATGGTGGCCAGTCCACTCGTCCTGACTTTCCTAGTGCTGAAATTACAGGCAGGTGCCATCAGGCCCAAGTAATGAAGTGCTGGGATTTGAACCAGGATCGGACTTGAAGCTTAGGCAGATTCTCTCCAGGCTGAGGTATATCCCCAGTCCGTAGTCCACTACATTAATCAAGTGGTTTGCTCACTTTTCTCCCCGGTGTTATCAGCAGTAGAGAATATTTGTGAGCTCAGTTGTTACCATTTATCGAGCAGTTCTGGGATGGATGCTGAGAGGTGTTTACTGCTGGGTGACTCATTTTACTTTTTAGTCTTGCCGTGAGTGGCGGGAGGTGTGGGAGTGGGGGGTTCTCTGTATAGTCCTAGCTGTCTTAGAATTCACTCTGTAAAACAGGCTGGCCTTGAACTCACAGAAACCAAAGGTGTATGACACCACTGCCCTACACTTTTTAGGGTTTTTGATAAATATTGCAAAGGAAAATGTTTGTGATTCTGACATGTAGTGATTCTGACATGTAGTATTTGGCTGGGTTTTTCAGGAGAGGAAAATGCCACCCAAGCGCATAGCTAAGAGAAGGTCACCCCCAGAAGATGCCATCCCCAAAAGCAAGAAAGTGAAAGGTAAGCTGGTCTTGATCCCTTCCTGGCTCTGAGTGGTCTCAAAACAAACAGTGAGCTTTCTGGGCCCCGCTCCTTCCTCCCTGGATTAAAGCTCTGAGGAGCTTAGATGTCCAGGGACCCCTGCTCAGCGGAGGTTCTCTTTCATCTCACCCAGTCCAACCCTGTAGCAGCCAAAGAGAGGCCTAGGCTGAGGCTTATCAGAGAGTACTCTAACAGGGCTTTCAGAAAAAGATCCCCCGCCCTGCCACCCCAGATCCTAGGACGTGGCCCCAGGCAAATGAATTACAGTTTGGTCTGTCTAACGTACTTTGGTCTCCTCCCCCTGATAATGGAAAAAGTCCTTGGAGTTAGGTCCATTTGTTCTGAACTGACAGCTTGAAAGCCCGAGGCTTTTGGACCTACTGGCCTTTCAGAAGTGGGTCCAGGTGTTAACTCTGCCACTTTCTCGTTGTAACCACAAGCATGTCAATTAATCTGGCTGAGGCTGAGTTTCCCTTGATAGAGTGGAGATGGGAATTCCATCAACCTCCTCTGAGTAGTTGAGTATTAGATGAGATAATGTCCCAGCTTCATTTGTGGGACCTGTCCTGTAATTTTTCTGTCTCATACAACCCCAGAGTGTGGCGAAGACCAGAGAAATTGACCCCTAGCATGGGAGGAAGGAGCGTAGACATATGCTCAGACAGTGTCTGTCTGTTGCAGACCCTCGTAACCGCGGTCCTGCCGCCCGCTCCTGCCAAGGTGCCTGTGGGCCAAACCCAACTGACCAGAAAACCCAACCAGATGGCTCCCTGCCCCGTGCAGCCTCTGTAGCAGCGGCAGTGGCCCGGCAGCCGAGGCCACACCCCTGGGGAAGGGACTGGATGCCATTGACTGAAGGGCTGTGGCAGGCTTCCATTGGCTGCCAAAAGGCTTTGCACTCCCTACTGGTTGGCCCACGCCTCTCTGCAAATGCATCTGTGGGTTCTTACTGTGCCTTCCTGTTCCTCTGAAGCTGTCAGTGTGCTGCCCATGCTGGCAGAAGGGTAGTCTGTCCTCCTGTGCACCGGAGTTGGAGATCACGGTCTGGGGGTAGAGGGGCATTCAGATAGAGGTTGATAAGTGCTCCAGCCCAGGAAGTTGCCCTGAGTTCAGTACAAACTCTGTTAATTAGCTTTATGAGCCTGGGCAGGTGTTTTACCCTCTAGGAGGCTCTATTCTGTGTTCTGTAAAACAGTGTCTTCTATTTTTGATGTTTGTTTGAGATAGAATAGCCCTGGCTGTCCTGGAACTCACTATATAACCCAGGCTGGCCTTGAACTCCCAGAGATCTTCCTGCTTCTGTCTGCAAGGGCTGGCATTGAACCACCAGGCCTGTCAGCAGGATGTTGTAAACATGGGAGGTCTGCAGAGCAGCTAGTGTTGGTAGAGTAAGTGGTCAGTAAAAGGTTGGTACTGCTGGATATCGGTGGCACAGGTCTTTAATCCCAGAACTTGGGAGGCAGAGGCAGGAGGATCTTGGTGAGTTTGAGGCCAGCCTGGGCTACAGAGTGAGTTCCAGGAGAGCCAGGACTGTTACACAGAGAACCTTGTCTCAAAAAACAAGACAAAACAAAAGGTTGGCAGTATGGATCTGCATCTGAGACATGGGCTCAGCAGGAAACTTTCTTGTCTCCTCACTGCCCTCGTTCGTGCCCTGCCCTCCGACATCCATTCACCATGCAGTATGTCCTTGTTTGTCTTTCCTCCTCATGTCAGTAACATGCTTGGGTGTTAATCCTCACAAACCCCTTGTCGTCCTCCCTTCACAGATGAGGACACTTAGACCCACAGAGGTTTTATCTATGGCATGTTGGCAGAGGAAGGGCTTGCCCCCCAGGTCACCATGATCCCAGAGCCCATGCCATGATCTCGGCTGCCCTCGTCCTGCACACTCAGGGGCTGTCTTTTCCACCCTTTAGTCTCACACAGGTCTCATAAAACAGAACCGGGCTTGGTGCTGACACTGGGCCAGGGCGACGTGGGCCAGCTGGGGCTGGGTGAGAGTGTGCTGGAGAGGAAGAAGCCGGCCTTGGTAACCGTTCTGCAAGATGTTGTGCAGGCTGAGGCCGGGGGCATGCATACCGTGTGTCTGAGCCAAAGTGGCCAGGTGAGTCAGAGGGAGTTGGGACAGGTGGATAGGGCCTGGGTGCAAGGATGTGGGACAGGACCTGATATAATAGAAACGAGGAGTGGCCTAAACGAGTTGGCCACAGACTCAGACTTTGTGCTAATGGGACACCCTGGGCACAGGTCTACTCCTTCGGCTGCAATGATGAGGGTGCCTTGGGAAGGGACACATCAGCCGAGGGCTCAGAGATGGTCCCTGGGAAAGTGGAACTGCAAGAGAAGGTGGTCCAAGTGTCAGCAGGAGACAGTCACACAGCAGCCCTTACCGAAGATGGCCGGGTCTTCCTCTGGGGCTCTTTCCGGGTAAGACTGGGTCTGGAAAATTGTGCGGGGGCTGGAAGGCAAAATTAACGTAGGGTACCCAAATGATCCACTTGCCTGTCCCCATTGTGCTTGCTTGCTGGTGGAATAGAAGGTAAGGGCCACATGTAGGTGGGTCCCAGATTTAAGTCCCTGCTATCTTATCTGGATCTGTCTACCCCACTGGCTATTTGCTTGGATGTGATGAAGTTCTGCATTTGGGAAGGGGTGGGTGAAGGGTGCCTCTTGAGCCGCAGCTGATCCTGGCTGCTTCTTGTCTTTTTGTTCCCTTCTCATTCTCAGTCCCATTATAGAGGTCTTGAGATAGATTTGTGGGGGTGGGGAGTATCACTTCTTGGTGGTTTTAAGCCAGGGGAGTGTAGTCTTTATTTTTGGTTTTCATGGATTCTTTTTCCTAAGATGAGGTCTCATGTATCTCAGGTTAGTCCCATATTGGCAATGCAGCTGAGGATGGCTTTGAACTTTGATCTTCCTGCCCCCATCTCCTGGGTGCTGGAATTACGGGCTGCCATTCTTGTGTAGTGTCAGAGATGAAACCCAAGACTTTGTGTGTACCAGGCGAGTACAGTATCAAGGGAACTACAATCCCAGCATAGGGAGATGTCATTTCAGTGTGGTGGCTGGAAAGGGTGGTTAAAGCCATGCTCTGCTCAGCTTCCAACACCCATATAGCAACTCATAGCTGTCCATAACTCAGATTCCAGGAGACCCAGTGCTGCCATCTGGTCCCTTTGGGCACCAGGCAGACATGGTGCAATAGGCAGACATATATGCAAAACACCCATACACATTAAAAGTAAGTTAAAAGAAAGATAGAATCTTCATGAGTATTTCCTTATTAAAGCTATTGTAAAAACAGTTACTCATTTATTTACTTATTTTTTGAGGCAGCATCTCTCTATGTAGTTCTAGCTGTCCTGCAGCTTGCTTTGTAGATTAGGCTGCCCTTGAATTCATAGAGATCCTCTTGTCTCTAGGATTAAAAGTGTATACCACCATGCCAGACCCTAATTTATTTACTTTTTTGAGACGGGGTCTTGCTCTGTATCCCTGGCTGGTTTGGCACTCACTATATAAATGAGACTGACTTCAAGCTCAGAGATCTTATTTTACATTGGATAGTTCTGGGATTAAAGGAGTTTGCCAGCACACCCTGTACTGTTGTAAACTTTTTTTTTTCTTCGAGACAGGGTATCCTTGGCTGTCCTGGAACTTGCTCTGTAGACCAGGTTGTCCTGGAATTCACAGACATGCACTGCCTCTGCCTCCCAGAATAAACCTCCTGGTTTATTGTAAGCATTTTTTTCCCAAGACAGGGCTTTCCTGTGTAGTTTTGGAGCCCTGTGACGCCATGAGCCAAAATAAACTGTTGTCCTTGAAAACTGGTGGGTTTTTGGGGGGGGCGGCGGAATGAGACAGGGTTTCTCTGTGGCTTTGGAGGCTGTCCTGGAACTCACTCTGTAGACCGGTCTGGTCTCAAACTCACAGAGATCCTCCTGCCTCTGCCTCCCAAGTGCTGGGATTAAAGTCAGGCGCCACCACTGCCCAGCTATTGTGAGCATTTTTATGGAGAATTTTTTAACACAGAAATGTTCAAAATGATGTGTTGCAACTCTGTCCTCTTGCCGTGCTGCTCCAGCAGTTGATTGACTTTTAGCTAGGCTTGTTTCCCTCCACTCAGGACTTTACCCTCGCTTACTTTAACACAGTTCCCAGCCTGGGTGTTGTCATTCTTCGGTATTTCCATGTCTCACTGTCCATATCTCTACCACTCACTGCCCTTCACCAGGCAACTGTCATGGCCCCCAACAAGCCTGGGCTTGGCTGACATAGAGCCGAAGGACTGGCTGCTTAAGTCTCTGTCCCTCATTTGTAGGACAATAATGGTGTGATTGGGTTGTTGGAGCCCATGAAGAAGAGCATGGTTCCTGTTCAAGTGCAGCTGGACATGCCTGTGGTAAAGGTGGCCTCAGGTGAGTGTTGGGCACACTATGGGCAGGAGCTATGGCAGCTGAGCCTGGGGTCTTACAGACAAGCCCTTCCTCTCATCTTCAGGGAATGACCATTTGGTGATGCTGACGACTGAAGGAGACCTCTATACCTTGGGGTGTGGGGACCAGGGTCAGCTGGGCCGTGTGCCTGAGTTATTTGCCAACCGAGGTGGCCGTCAGGGCCTTGGTAAGTGGCTTTGGTATTGCCAGTGGGATGATTTGGTAAGCCATCCCTTGCCAAAAGTAAAGGGCAAGAGGGATTCTGTTGAGGTTTATATCCAGTGCACTGCAAGTGTTTATTAAGAACTCAGACTGGGCCAGGCGGTCGTGGCGCATGCCTTTAATCCCAGCACTGCAGAGGCAGAGACAGGCAGATCTGTGAGTTCCAGGCCAGTCTGTTCTACAGAGTGAGTTCCAGGACAGGCTCCAAAGCTACACAGAGAAACCCTGTCTCAAAAGACCATTTTAAAAAAAGGAACTCAAACTGCAGTAGTTGTCCACTCCTTTAATCTCAGCATTTGGGAGGCAGAGGCAGACAAACCTCTTGAGAATTTGAGGCCAGCCAGGGCTACATAGAAACATTTTGAACGGCCCCCCTCACCCACCCCCCAAAAAAATAGAACTCAGGCTTTGAGCTGGGAATGGTGGCATATATCTTCAATCCCAGCACTCAGGAAGCAGAGGAATATGAGTTCCTCAAATTTAGATTTTGAGGCCTGCCTGGTACATAGTTCTAGGCCAACCAATAAATAATGAGACCCTCTAAAAAGATGGGGGGGGCAACCCTCAAATTTTGGAGGCTGACTCCTTATCTCTCAAGCCCCCTCTCACCCCACCCCTTTTGGTTACTGTGAATAGAGAAAAGGTTTAGTCGGGAAAATGTCTAGCACCCAAGTTTCACCTGAGCTTTTCTTCTCATAACTGTTAAAAGTTTGAGCCTGGCGTTACCTCTTCCGTAACAAGGATAACCCTGCTTCACCTCCTTCAGGGTCTTTTGTGGAAGAGAAGAAAACACCCTATGTCTGTCACTTACCCTGGCTTCCTCTTTACTTACAGAGCGACTCCTGGTTCCCAGGTGTGTGCTGCTAAAAGCCAGGGGATGTCGGGGCCGTGTGCGGTTCCAGGATGCCTTCTGTGGTGCCTATTTCACTTTTGCCATCTCCCGTGAGGGCCATGTGTATGGCTTTGGCCTCTCCAACTATCACCAGCTTGGTGAGTGCTGATCTAGCATCAGACTTGGCTCCATGACCTTGATTCCAGTCAAGGCTCTAGCTTTCAGTCTTTGTGCTTGCTTTGTGGGGTACCTGATCCCTCAGCTCCAGGGTAACGTGGTGTTTCTGGGGATGAGTTGGGTGGCCTTTCTTGGGGACAGCAGTGAGAAGGGAGGCTTCTGGAACACCTTCACCCTTGGCAACAGGAACTCCGGGCACTGCATCTTGCTTCATTCCTCAGAACTTGACATCCTTCAAGAATTCCACTAAGTCCTGGGTGGGCTTCTCTGGTGGCCAGCACCATACAATCTGCATGGATTCAGAAGGTAGGACACCCAAGCCCTTCTACATTGGAGACAGTCCCTGATACGGCCAGATGCTTTGAATTGTGAGGGTTGTCATGGTGCTTGTGTCAACTGCCCTGGGGGGAGGCGGGGTAAGAACATCTTCTAGCTCCTAGCCCCAGATAAAGACAAGGCCCTGAGGACCTCAGCACCTGAGAGGAGAGCTGACCCTGAAGGACGTGGGGACTCATTTGGTGTGCTGTCTTTTTTTACTTGGAACATGTCCCTGCTGATACTCAACCTCTCTCTTTAACTACCTCACAGGAAAAGCATACAGCCTGGGCAGGGCTGAATATGGGCGGCTAGGCCTTGGGGAGGGTGCCGAGGAGAAGAGCATACCCACCCTCATTTCCCGGCTGCCCATCGTCTCCTCAGTGGCCTGTGGGGCTTCTGTGGGATATGCTGTGTCCAAGGATGGTGAGTGGGCTCCTCAGACCTGGTTGTTGGAACTTGGAGGGCATGATTCCTAGCAAATTCCTTGGGTTGTGTTGTTGATAATACTGCTTTGTCATTGAATCAGAAGCTCTGGGGGTGGGGTGGGGGTTGTTTCTGTTGTTTGCTTTAGTCTGTTATGTTCTTGAGACTGGTCTTACCATGTTGACCAGGCTGTCGTGCAACTCACAGAGACCTGCTTGCCCCTGCCTCTGCCTTCTGAATGTTGGGATCATGTGCCATCACACTGGGCTCAAGAAGCTAATGAGTCTTCATCTGTCCCACCATCTAGCCCTCAAATAATGACACAAGAGACTTATTAATTATTAAAGCTTAGCCTGTAGCTTAGGCTTGTTTCTAACTAGCTCTTATAATTAACCCATATTAATCTGCATTCTATCATGTAGTGTTACCTCTCTTGTATCTTGTACCTCCTAGTTTCTCTCTGTCTCCTGGCATCCCTAGATTCCTCCTCTTCCTTTTTCTCCCCGAAATCCCGCCTATACCTTCTGCTTCACTATTGACTGTTCAGCTTATTACACTAATCTCAGCAATACACTTTCACACAGTGTATGAATATCCCACAAGACAAGAGTACTTTTTTTTAATGTTTGTTATACCTGCATGTATATGCATGTGCTATGTATATGCTTGGTACCTACAGAGGCCAAGAGAGCGCATCAGATACCCAGGGGACTGGAGTTACTAACTGTTGTGAGCGGCCATGTTGTGGGTCCTGGCTAGTGCAGCAGAAGAGGGTGTGGACACATAGCAGCCAAAGCCCGAGAAAGGTGCATAGCCAGGGATCCTGTGGAATTCAGATTGGCAGGGGTGTTTATGCTTACCTGGGTGGACTTCCTCAAGAAGTGAGGTTTGCACTGCAGCATGGAGGTTCATTTGGTCCTTATAGGCCAGGTGTCGTGGCATACACTTTTAGTCCCAGTACTCAGGAGGCAGAGGCAAGCACATCTCTGTGAGTTTGAGGCCAGCCAGGGCTATATAGTGAGACCTAATCTTAAAATAATAATAATATATCAAACCCAGGAGCATCATAAATAACCTAGAAGGTGGCTGATTCCAAGAACAGGGATTTAGGGTGTAGCACCCCCTCTTCCCTTCCCCCACCCCCAAGTTCTATGCCCTGGAGTAGGGAGAATGCAGCAGAGGACACAGTCTCCTCATCTTTTCCACTCCCTTGAACCCTTGGGCTGGGACCTTGCCAGACTGCTATTGGTCACATTTACCCCCATGTCCCAGGCATCTCGTATGGTAAAGCAGGTCTGAAGACCCCAAAGACTCTTTTTCTGTCCTTTCTAGGTCGTGTTTTTGCCTGGGGCATGGGCACCAACTACCAGCTGGGCACAGGGCAGGAAGAAGATGCCTGGAGCCCTGTGGAAATGACTGGCAAACAGCTGGAGAACCGAGTGGTCTTAACTGTGTCCAGTGGGGGCCAGCACACAGTCTTACTAGTTAAGGACAAAGAACAGAGCTGATGACGTCTTTGTGGGCCTGGCTTCTGGCCCCCAACCCCACTTCACAACAGGAAAACGACCAGCTACAAATTCCAGAAGGCCCTTCCCCAGCCCTGAACATCTATCATCTCCTGTCTTACCCATCACCACCGCAGAATCCTTTCCTTCTGTTGCGTCCTCTTTTCTAGAATCATCCTGGGAAGTACAGGATGAGGGAGGATGGGAAGGGGATCTCAGAAGGAGCTTTGCTTACCCTAGACTCACGTCTTTAGACTGTTCCCTTTACTACCTTACTTCCTGTGGTCCCAGCAGGCCCTGGCTCATTGCCTACAAAACCCAAAGCTACTGCTTTGGGGTTTTGGTGCCCATACTCTGAAAAGTTGGGAACTCCATCAAGCCCCCCTTCCCATGTGCCACTTTTTCTGTTCCTAACATCAGTTTAAAAGGAGACAGATGGTACAGTCATCAGATCCAGTTGTCATGGACCCATGCCTAGGGAGATCTGGACAAAGGCTTCACAAGGCTGGGGTGATCCTAAGCCAAATATTTGGCTCTAAACAGGAGTCCATGGGCAAAAAACAGTGGCCCACTTGAAAAAAAAATCCCAACTAGCTGTTCTCCCAAAAGCACAAAGCACCCCACTGTCTCTTGGGCATCACCTGTGCATTCCCCATCCAGTCGCCTTCCTGCCAAAAAGGACTGAAAAGCCATGCTGGGCTCTGCTGGGCAGTCAAGGCAGGCGGGGTACTGTGGAAGCGTGGAGGGAAAGGCTTGGAGGGACAGGCTGGTCCTAAGAAAAGGAAGTAACAGTGGTTGAGAAAGTAGTTTTGATTTTTTTTTTTTTTAATTATAAAGTATTTTGGAGGGGAGAGTAAAATCTTTTAACACTTTGAATAAATTTAGAGTTTTATAAAAATGGTTTCCTGGAGTTGTCTTTAAAGGGGCACCTGCCATGTGCCAGGCATTACGAAAAGGGCAGGGTAAACATGTCTGGGAACCTGTTATCAAGGCTGTGGCCAACACAGCTGTTCCAGAGTCTGGAAAAGACACCAGGTGTTTGGTTAGTTACGCAATAGGAACCACTGCTTTTGCTTCATGGTCATGATGCATAAGAGAGATGAGATAGATTTTTTTTCTTTTAATGGGCTCTCAGTTTAGCCCAGACTGACGAGAACCTCCTGCCTCAGCTTCCTGAGTGCTGAGATTACAGGCCGGGCTTTAGTATGTTAGTTTTAAGTCCCAAACCAAGGTTTTTTGTTTTGTTCTAGTTTTGGCAATATCTTACTATGTGTCCCCGGCTGGAACTTCCTGTGTAAAACAGGCTAGCCTTGAACTCACAAAAAAGATCTGTCTGCCTCTGCTTCCAAAGTTTTTGGATTAAAGTCATCTAACCACCACACCTGGCCCAAATTTCTTTCTGTGTTAACCGCTCTGGCTGTCCTGGAACTCAGTTTGTAGACCATGCAGGCCTCAAACTCACAAAACTCCACCTGCCTCTGCTTCCTGAACGCTAGGATTAAAGTGGTGTGCCACCCCTGCCAGGCTCCAATTTTACTCAACCGACTTCATATTCAAAAGCTGTTGTTTGCTTAAAACTTACCCTGGTTGCTCTGTGGTAAAACTTTTCCTGAGAAGATGCTATACACACATGTCCTCACCCTAAGTAGGGAGCCTGGAATAGACCAAATTACAGATAATCTAACTTGGTGAACCAATGAGTTTCCTTGGGGTTAGTTTCAGGAGCAGAAATACAGCTTTCATTATCAAAGGCCACCTGGGCATGGATGGCAACTCTCAAAAGCTGGGAATCTGGAGTTCACTCACTGCACAGCGTCCAGGCAGCATAAGAGGCTGAAGAGTACCCTTTCCAAGCTAGGTAGCTGGGCTGGTTTCTATTTCTCCCAGGCAGCAGATCTGTACTCCAGAGTCCTTGCCATCTTGTCTTAAGTCTTGTCTTTGCATGTCAGCCTTTCAACTTTTATTGCTTGCTCTGACAATGAGGGTCCTAGTAATTTGGTTAGTTTCAGAAACTTCCTAAATCTATTTTGAGTTGTTACCCTCTTAGATAACCTTACCAGTAGGATAGAACATTTCAATCTGAGAGGAGTATGCGTGTGCTGGGGGGTGGGAGGTGACTGATGGGCTAGAGTGTTGTATTTGTTTAACCAGGCAAAGATGTATTACATTTGTTTATGCTGCATTAGTTTATGTAAAGATGTGTTGCATTTGTGTTAATATCAAATTGAGCTCAGGGAGACAGGGTTAGCAACTAATTTACAGAAAGGAGTTTTGAGTGGGTTTTTTTGTTTGCTTGCTTGCTTGCTTGCTTTTGATTTTTCAAGACAGGTATCTTTGTGTAGCTTTTGCTGTCCTGGAAATCACTTTGTAGGCCAGGTGGGCCTCAAACTCAGACTGACTGCCTCTGCCTCCCAAGTGCTGGGTGGTGGTGGGTTTTTTTAGTTGGGATGGAAGGAGAGACACTTCCAGGGATGTCAGTAAAGAGAAAGTTATCCAGTTGCTACTCTTGCTGAGCTCCCAGGTTTTCACCCTAGCCATTGAATCTCCAGTTTTATTAGAACTATAGAGGTTTAGTTAAAGCCACCTTTAAGGGCAGCAGCAGATCCATTGTCTGGGGGAACTGAATGACTGGCCTTATTTATGTTCCTTCTACTAGTTCTTATAACTTAACCCGTTTCTCTTCATCTGCAGTTTACCAGTTTACCTCAGGGCTTTTCACCTTTCTGTCATTCTGTATGTTCTACTTTCCCTTCTGTGTCTGATTGGCTGGTGGCTGCCTGGCTAGCCCCAGGTGTTTCCCTCTCTTTCTCCCACGCTTTCTCATGACCTCTCTAGATTCCTCCTCCTACTTACTGTCTCCCTGCCAGCCCTGCCTATCCCTCTACTGCCTAGCTATTGGCTGTTCAGCTTTTTATGTAGACCAATCAGGTACTTTAGACAAGTAAAGCAACATATCTTTACATCATTAAACAAAAGCAACATGTCTACATAACACTGGAGAGATGGCATAGTGATTAAGAGCACTGGCTGCTCTTGGAAGGCCCCGGGTTCAATTCTCTTCACTTTACATGGTGCCACACAACTGTCTGTAACTCCAGTCCCATGGGATTCAGTGGCCTCTCTTTGCTTTGTTTTTTTGAGACCCCCCCCTTTTTGAAAAAATTTTTTTTTTTTTTTTTTTTTTTTTTTTTTTTACAATTGTGTGTGTTCATCCTCAGAAGTTCTCAGGCTTGGTGGCACGAACTTTTACCTGCTGAGCCATCTCACCAGTCCCTTAGCGCTATTCATACAGTAACAGAAGGGAATGTGAAATTTGGAGACTTATACTTTGCCTCTGGTTTTCAGACTTGAGTTCTTGGCTTGGGGATAAGACCTTAGGGCTCCTTCAGGTACTCAAGATGGGCTTCATTGTCAGAACCAATCTCAAGGCACAGAAGCCTGCCACTGTTTGTCCTGGAATTCACCCTGTAGACCAGGCTGGCCTCAAACTCAAAAAGCTCCATCTGCCTCTGCCTCCCAAGTGCTGGGATGAAAGGCATGCGCCACCACCCACTTTAACCTGATGCGGAGCCTGGGATAAGCCCACCTTGGGAGCTCTCAAAACCCGATTTTGCTCAGTGTTCTATGGGTAGGTCTGTGCTCTGAAGTGAAGCCTTGGCGTTATGCAGTAGAAAGTGGGAGGGGCCAGGAGTGGTGGCTCACATTTGTAAACAGCACTTAGGAGACTGAAGAGAAGGATTGCAGCCCGCCTACATTTTATATAGTATGTACCAGGCCTGTTTGAGCAACATAATGAGACCTTGCTTCAAGACTAAATAAATAGATAAACGAGAATTAAAGCGTGGTGCTGGAGACATGGCTCAGGCGTTGAAGAGAAGGAGCGCGCTTTCAGAGGACTGGGGTTCATAAAAACAGGTGGAAGCAGGTACATATGACTAGGCACTTATGGGCCAGCCAGGGCTACATAGAGATCGTGCCCCGCACACCACACACAAAACAATGGGTGAGAGGGTTTGACTTATCAAAAGAACTGTCCCTTAGTCCTCTCCGCCACAGGGCTTTATGAGAATGAAGAATCCCATTACATCTTCAAAAAAGGCCTCAGGGTTTTCCAGCGGGAATGCCGCAGAGCAGGACAGCTGTGCTAACCCCGGGGTAGTCCATAGTCCGACCGATCGGAGCGGATCATCCAAGCTCCAGGAGGGGTTCCATCACTAATCCGTTCACCTTCGCGCTTGTGCTTGGAATTCCATACCGAGGGCGAACCTCACCTCCCTTGATTACAGAAGTATTTACGTGGTTTTATTAAACAGCCGAGTAGCCCTCCATGCTGGGATTTCCCAGAAGCCGCCCCAGCCGGGCTTCCTGAAGCGCCCGAGTGGAAGCCACGCCCCTACCCCTGCCCCAGCCACGCCCCCCACGA